TAAATCTAGCACAATATTCTCTCTGTTCTTTATTCCTTTCCCCATCTTTTCTTGCCTTACTTTGGATTCAGTTAATTTTTTCTTGTCCCATTCCTGTAACTCTGTAATTCTGATCTTACTAGATATTTTTGGACACTAGTAGGAGATGATTATTCTTCAATTCCATTTGACCTCCTAACTCTTGTGATCATATCATCATGTGTTTTAGTTCTACAAATATTCTATTACCTTACAGGACTTTGTTGTTGTGCTAAGTAGCCAAGATTACATTTTTCTAATTAAAAATCCTTTGTGTTCTTTATTTCTTCTTATATCATGTACATTTACCTAAAAACTTCTGCTTTTGTCCAAAGTTTCCTTTACTTAATATGTTAAGTTCTTAATATGTTGGCAATGTATTCGTTTTTTCTTCTTTTTTTTGTGTGTACATAGATTTTATTTTAACCTATGAATATCCATATTTTCTCTGGGTATAGAATTCTAAGTTGGTTTTTTTTTTTTTCTTTTAGAGTTTTAAAGTCAGTCTCTTGTCTTCTGGTTCCATTACTTTCTGCTGAAAAATTAGCACTCACTCCTACTGTACTTTGTCCTTTCCATCCATAGTATCCACCCTCTGTTTCTAAGATTTTCTTTTTGTCTTTGAATATCCAACTGTATTTTTATGAATGCCTAGTGAGGTTTCTTTATATTTATCTTGGCTTGTGTGTATAGAGATTCCTAAATCTCTGGCTTTATACCTTCTATCAGTTTTTAGAAAAATCTCAACCAATATCTCTTCAACTATTGATTCTCAATTTTCTCACTCCAAAAATTCAGTATTATGCTTTTCACCATGTTCCATAATGTCTCTGTCATACTTTTCCCCTGTACTTTTCATTCTTTAATTTTTCCTTTCTGATCTTCAGTCTAGCTATGTACTGATCTGTATTCCATCTTACTATTCCTCTTGTCAGTTGTACTTAATTTACTGTTAACTCTACCTGTTGAATTCTTTCAATTATTTAATTTTCAGTTTCAGAATTTCTACTTGATTCTTTTTTTAACAGATTCTAATTTTATGATGAAAATAAATTCCCTTCTCTTTTTCTAAAACATAATTCTAGAGAGCAGTGTCTGATAATTCTAAAATCTGATAATTCTAAAATCTATCTACTTTACTGGGTCTTACTCATTTGTTAACCTTCTTGTCATACCTGGTGAGTGCAAATTGGATACCTTCTACATCTGAAATTGTAAAATCTCTCCATGACCAAACTGTCTTCCAGAGAGGATTTCTTTCTCTTTGCTAGATGGCAGACCATCTTGAAATCATCTTAAGATGTTTGTAGCTTATCAGCAGAAAAACTGAGAATATTATGATTTCAATTCCAAGTCAGTTGCCAACCAGAGCAACTTGGAAAGCCTAATTTTTGTTTTCCGAGAGTCAGGATACTGTCAAAACCTATGCTTATTTTTTTAGTTTATTTGAGATGATTTTTTTTCCCTTCTTTTCAGGCTCATATCCACTATACCTGCAAATCAGGCACCACGAAACTATAGGGAAAGCTATATATCAAATATTGGGCTTATTTTTGTCCAATTCCCTTTTCCAGGATTGTAGACCCTATATTTCTGTCTGCTTTGGCAACCCCAATTCAGGTTTCTTCCAAGTCAGTGAGACTTTTTATTAAACTTCACAACATTATTTTCTATTTGGCTTATATTCAGAACATCCAATGCTCCAGGCAGAAAATATGGCAGTAAAATGTGGGGCTCACTTTAATGGACTTTTCTTCTCTCCAAATATTGACTCTTGAGTTCTGGTTGCCTTTATGCTCTGACATGCCTCAAAAAAATTTTTTTTTATCAGATTTTCACACATCTTAGCAGCAAGATTTGTCTGATACAAACTATCTTCTTTTAGTTGGTAGCAGAAGTCTATTTCATATAATTTTCACACACAGAAGTGACAGCTTATTATCTTTATGTATTAAGTGGAGATAGGATTTGTTATGTGCATAAGCTTTGGAATCAGACTTTGGAATTTAAATCCCAGCTGGCCACTAACCAAAATGTGAAAACTTGAGGAGTTTAACCTCTCTGATCTTATATTTTCTACCCTTTTAATCACTACCTGAGAAATGAAGGTGAAGAGAGCTGTAAAGATCAGATAATCTCACATTTATTTTAACTATTCCAGACCATAATAAAAGGAAAACTTCAAAATTCTTTATTTGAACTGGTGTTTTAATTCCTAAATCTAAGAAGTATGGCATCTAAATTAGACTATTTTCATTTATGAATGTTAATGCAAAGGCATATTTAAAATCATAGCAAACAGAAGCCAGCAGCATATTTTTAAAAAGTTCACCATGATTAAAAAAAGTTTATTCCAAAAATATGATAGCTGAATGCTAGGAAATCTACTAGATAAATCATCATATTAATAGAGCCAAAGAGAAACAAATCACAATCATCTCTATAAATGTAGAAAAAATATTTGATAAAATTCAACACACATTTATTTTACTTTTCATTCAACAAATATGTATTGAGCAGCTGCTCTATGATAGCACTGAAGATGCCAGGGTGGAAAAGATATTGTTAACATCTCAGTTCTTGTTGCAGTGAAAGGAAACAGCCAATAACTACACAGGAATGGGACAAGCTAGAACATACATTTATTTTAAACACTCAGTAAAATATGCATGAGTTTAATTAAAACAATAAGCATACCTTTTGTCAACAGTCAGCATCTTACTTATAGGGAAGTTCTGTTTTCTTCTTAAAGTCAGAAATAAGATAAGGATTCCATTCCATTGTATCCATAACACTTAATGTTAGGTTGTGGAATTAGCTCAAGCCATAAGATAAGAGAAAGCTATAGAATTGAAAAGAGATAAAATGTCTATTTGTAGATAAATTTATATACACAAATATGCAAATGGAATATACATGACAAATATGCAAAGATACACATATATGAACATACAAATGGAAATAAAAAAAAAAGCCACTATGTAAAAACTATCATAAACAATAAGACATTTAGTCAAGGGACTGCTTGTAGTATATATGAATATGTACGTCTATTATATAAAAATCAACTGTCATTGTCATTTACAAATAGAGTTAGATTTGTATATGAAAGAGAAATATCATTTATAAAGATAGAAAAGCAAATATTCACAATGCTGGAAAGTTAAAAATACTCTTGAAAAAAATAACAGCAGACTTGAACAAATTATTAAAAAGACCGTGTATAAGAAGATAAAACATTATACTGATGCCAGCTTTCCCTAAGCTGATTTAAACCTTTGTATGCAATTGCAATAAGGCTTCCGTAAGTTTCTCCCCTAGAACTGTCAACACTGATGATGTCTTTCTCTTGTTCCACAAACCCTCGCTATTCCTGGGAAGGAGGTGCCAGATCCTGTATGTAGCAGGGAGATGAGGAGCAGTGTGGGAGGAGGATGTGCTTCATGGCTTACAAATTTCTCATGACTCTTGCCACTCTCCATAAACTCCGAGCCTGCCTTCCAGAAGCCCCCCTGACTCACTGTGCTGTGCTGGCGGGCTGTGGCCAGTAGGATTACTCCAGTGGTCTGCGCAGGGGCTTTTGACACACTATTGCGGTGGTGCTCAGAGAGTGTCGTTTGGGGGGGACATAACTTTCAGCGCGTCCACAGTTTCATCTCCTTATTTCCTCCTTTCTGACTCCCAAAGGAGGCTCCCAAGAATGCTAAGGTGTGGAGGACAAGGCCATTTACTTGAAAAGTGTTGAGAGTGAACGGTTGTCTTGGTTGTGATGTGAGGAGGTAGAACTGATCCAGCTTTGCTGTTTGGGCTTCTCTCTTTTTGTGTTTTCTGTTGTTAGCATGGATTTTCAGCTTATTCTCAGCATTACTGCTTTTGATCCTAAACTTGTTATTTATGACAATGTGTAGATATTTATTATTAGTCATGAAACCACTCTATATGTTCTCTACCTTCTCCCTGATTGCTTCTCCCTGGGCCTTTTCCTGCTTCCTGAACATACCTGTGCTTTCCCAGCACCTGCCTTTTTTAGAAGCCATTTGCTCTTCCAAACTTACCCTCCCCTTATACATCTAAAAGCCTGCTCATTTCTAGTGCTGTTTTCAAAGGTTTTTTAAAATAATTAAGTGTCCAACTATATATGTACATACACACATACATACACACATGCACTGGCATTTATCAGGCAAAAGTCTACCCCCTTATTTCTTAGTAATTTGCTTGTTCTGTAGTTTACTATTAAACTTTGAGTATCTTCACTTCAGGGACCCTTTTTTTAAAAGATTTATTTATTTATGCATATAGAACTGGGGTATAGGCCAGAGGTGCAGTGGCAGTGAGAGGCTTCACTAGAGACAGAGCGGGGAGCAGAACAGGTAGATCGTCGAAGTACACAGCTGAGGGGAGCAGTGGGCAGGTCAGGAGAGGGCTTCTGTGCCATGTGGGTCACCTCCGGAGCAGGCAGGGATTGAACTCATGCAGAAGTGGCTTTAGCTTCTTAGTGCTGTGCCACCAGTGAGGGCCCTCAGGGACTCTTTTACCTGTGTACCTTCTACAGCATTTTTCTCACTGTCCAACTTATTATTCAGCACAGGAAATGAGATAGAATTGAGGGAAAAAAAACAAGGTCTTAATCTATTCCAGTGGCATAGACTGGCTATTCAAACTGTGCATGTGGAACAGAGTTTCCCTTAATACAGGGCCTCAACCATATTACACATAAGGACGCATGATACTTGGTTCCATTTATTTGAAAATATATAATTAAAAATATAGTTTCCATACCCCCCCAAACTAGTTATTTACATCTTTAATGTGTTCTGTGTGTGTGTATAGCTTTTAGTAGACCCAGCATTGCTCAGTGTCATGTTCTTGCTCAGTTGTTCACCTTTTTGTGAATATGTGACTAACAAGAAGTGAAATATTTGCCAGTATCACTACATATCAATTATTTTTCAAAAACACAAAGTCTTTTTTTCTTGCAGGAACCCAGAAGCTTTGAAGTCTCAAGAAGAGAAGGTAGGGGAAATACATTCATACTCATTTCATTCTCAATGGTGACATTTTGGAAGTTGTTAGCTGAAGCCAAGATGAATTTCAGACTGTGGGCAGTCTGTTCTTTGAAATTTCATGTGGCCTTTTCTGGGTGCTGCCTGTTTGGCACGTCCCTCTAAGGGACTGCCAGAGCTGAAGGCCAGCTTTGCTTGTGAGAACTGTGTCTTCTACCTTCAAGTATCAGAGGTGGGTTTGGGGAACTAGCTCATTTGCAATCATGTTTATAGTCTCTCAAGAGAAACCTCATTTTTGAGTGGCTTGAGGTAATTATTCAGTTTCATCTAGCAAAAACAATATCAACAACAAAAATAATGATTTGTGGCTTGAGGTATTTCCATATCTGGGAAGAGATGTCACTGTAAAAAGTATTTCTGATTAGATTTTTACAGCTTTAGCTAAGCTGAAATAGAAATAAACAATTAATTTCCCTTTGAAAAGAATTCCATGATGTTATATTTTCCTTGCAAGCATTACTCTAGCACATTTGTTTTCTGGTCTCTGAGGTAAGTATATATGGGTGCTAATTGCTTAGCTCTTTTACTGGAAAGTGAGGTTTCCGTTACTCACTTTCAGCAATACCTCATCACTAAAAAGAATGCTGTTTGTATAATTTCTGGATCATCGCCAGTCACTCCTTTATTTCAGCGGATGAAGTAAAAAACCAAATTGAGTTTTAGTCAAAAACTGGCCTTTGGTTTTACCTTTAACCACAGTCTTTGCTTGACACTGTCTCTAAAAAGAAGCAGTCTAAGTGAACAAATTTCATATTGACTCCTAAATCTGACATGTTTTTGCCTCCTGATCAGTTACTATTTTATGCACACACAACAACAGAGACATAAAATAGCTATGTCATCAAAGTATGTTTCTATAGCTTGGGGGTCTAAACTTCCCACACTTTGTTTTAATGGTGGCAGCCTGGTTACTGTCTGCTGTCCATGGTGCTGGAATCCTGGACACAGGGATTTGGGTATTTTGACTCTAGGATATGGGCTTTGTGCCTTCCTTTTTCATTGTCTCTGGCTTGCTACTCAGTGTCCTTCAAATTGCACCTACAAGATCAAATGCATTGTTTGGATCTCCAAACCAAATGGTATTGGATGAAAGTAAATGAGACAGGAAAGGCATGTTTCTTATTGAAAGTTGTGTTCACAATAATTATGAAGATCATGTAAACTGGGGAGAAGACTTAAAGAAGAGATTTTGGCATGACATTTCACTTTGAATACTGTTCTGTTTATGTCAGTACCCTTAAGTTTGAGTGCTTGGAATTAATTTGCATTATGGGATCACATACAAATGTAACCATTCTGAAATCTTACTGTCCTAGTATCAAAAGGTCTCTAATTAATAAGGGTATGAGAAAGTATGAGAAAACCTGTATCTTTTTTTCGTCAAAGACATTAAAAAGTGTTGATTGTACCTAAGGTTCCAAACTCCTAGAAGACTGAAAGTGTTCAAGGGTGAGCAAAGACATGGTCAAAGCCGGAGTCTGCTCACCTAAAACCACCTCCACTCTGGCAGCATCAGCCTTCACAGCTGGTTGACTGGGAGCATATGCTTTGTGTTTGTACTGGAAAATTTGTCCTGACATTACTTAAACTTTTTTCTTCCCATTGTGAACTGCTGTCTTTCTTGCTTGTTTCTGTCAAAGTTGAGTATTTGCAGGTTCCTGAAGTCGCCCAGTGCCTTAATGTCAAAGCTTATCTCCTGGCATTGCAGGAAGGCAGGCAGGCAGGAAGAGGGGGACTTTACGGATGGGCTCCCTGTCTCTTCAAGTCTGAGAATTCACTGGGCTGGGAAGTGATGTCATTAATCTAGCCCAGACACTATACGAATAAAAATACTGCGAATATTTCGTGGGTACATTATCTAGCAACCAGCACTGAAGGTTGGTTTCTTAGCTTTGCCCTGTTATGGAATTAAAAGAGGAGCAGATAAGTAACATGTGAATTTTCTGCCTCCTTTACTAGGCCCAGGAGATTCTGAAGTATGGAGGGCCTATTCAAATGGAGAGATTACCTCCTTATCACAACATCTAAAATAAGATTAGGCTTTTGTTTTGTGGTAACTTTACACTTTTGATTCTTTAATGCCATCAGCACCATCCAGATTCAGTGCTATAAATGGATGAGCAGTGTAAATTCACACTACCTGACTCATGGCAACTCTTGTCCAAGCCTGTGAAGTGAGACATGAGGGGAGCTCATACTAGCAGTGGAAGCGAAGTCCAGGCAAAATCGCAGTGGGGCTGGAAGTGGTCCTGCTGGCATGAAGGCATGGCGCTCCACTGTCCTCCCCACGTGCTCTTCCCAGCCTTGAAGTGGCGACGTGCTCTACAGGTTGGGGACCAGTGCTGTTGCCTGTGGACTTTTTCAGACTGTTTCTGAAGCATGAACGTTCTCTGTCTCTCTTCCCTTCCGACTGTCTTTCTCAAAGCATTCAGTTTACTGTTTAGTTTGCTTTATATGATTGTTAAGGGCTCCTGTTAGGTTATTCATTTCCTGAGAGCCCCTCATTCACTTTCTGATCACTCAAGGATGCTCATCCAGGGCCTGTAGTTGCTCAACAGTTGTTTCCTGAATTAAGTGCCACTGTGTGTGGCCTGTTCACTGTGATCCCATCCTAGTGATAGACACAAGTGAGGAACTGAGTCCTGTGATTCTAGAAAGACACTTTTGAAGGAGTATTCTGTGGATATCCATCAGATACTCCTCACTGGTGCATTGATGAAAGCATTCTATTTTCAAATAAATTTGATATTATGAATTAAATCATCTCCTTGGGGGAAAAAAATCTGATGAAATCTTAACTCAGAACCTGGGGGTGTGCCCTCTTTTGGAAGTAGGGTCTTGATAGATTCCATCAAGTTAAGTTGGGATCATGATAGGTTAGAATGGGCCCTAATTCAGTGTGTGGGCACATAACCACAGGGAAACTACTGTGTGGTGATGGTTCAGGTGACTATACAAGCCAAGGCTTGCTGGCAGCAATGAAAAAGAAGCAGAGAAGGCTACTTTCTTAAATCTTTCAGTGGGACCATGGCTCTGTAACATCTTGATTTCTCATTATGAGCTTCCCAAGTTGTGAGAAAGTAAGTTCTCTTGTTTTAAACCACCAATTTACAGGACTTTGTTATATCATCTATAGGGGAATTTTAAAAAAAGATTTAATCGATTTATGCATACAGAACTGGGGTACCGGCCAGAGGTGCAGGGGCTGTGAAAGGCTTCACCAGAGACAGAGTGGGGAGCAGAACAGGCAGATGGACAAAGTACCCTGCTGAGAGGAGCAGCGGGTGGGTCAGGAGAGGTCTGCTGAGCTATGTGGGTCAGCTCTGGGGCGGGGATTGACCTCACGCTGAAGCAGCTGTGGCCAGCTTGCAGTGCTGCGTCTTAATCCATTGTGCCACAAGGGAGGGCCCGATCTCTAGGAAATTAATACACTTGACAAATGCTGTGTTCAGTATTGAGTTAAGTTGTTTTTTTTGTTTTTTGTTTTTGTTATTTTTACTGAAGCACCTCTCATGTCTTTAAGAAACTAAATAGGACTCAATGCAGGTGTAATAAACGGTGTTCCCAAATGCAGTTTCCCGTGGCATCTAAATTGTGTGTGTGTGTGTTTTAATCATCTTGGGGCTAGAATTCCATGTGACATCCTTTCCAAATCCTACCGTAGAGAGTTCAGGTGGAAGGACTACTTGCTCCGTGTCCAGAAGGTAGACTGGTCTGGCACCAGGGCTTTCGAGGTGGCATGTGAAGGAAAATGGTGAGGTAGTAATGATGATACACCTCCCCACTTGTTAAGAAGTTTTCATAGAACTTTCTTTAAATCCCTTTACCTTCAGTAGCCATGACATGAGCAGAGTAGTTACCACCTTATAAATGAGTCTCCCTCCTTCCTTCCCATGCTAGTTTTAATGGGAATAAGGACTCCCTCTGGCTCAGGGTCCCTTTAATGCACATCCCCTGTCTCTCATGGAGGGCAGTGACTTAAATGAGTTTGTCTTGCATCGTCATCCAAAAGTGCATGCCTGTCCACTGCCCAGCCCAGAGAGCTGAGAAGAACACTCCCTAGGGGACCCTTGTGGCCAGGGTAGATTTGTAATAAGAACTCTCAGGGGTATCTGGAGTCATCATAGTAACAAAGGTTGTAGGTGGCAGGACTATAGGACTGGTAGCGGGTCTTTCAGGAACAGCACCTGCCTTCCCTAGCAGATGAGTCCCTTCACCCCCAGGGCAGTCCCGTGTCGTCCTCCTGCTCCCAACACACCTGCACTAGCTGTACGGAGAAGCAGCCATGACTTCCTCATGTTCTGCTTTCCAGTGCAGGTGTGTCTGCACCTTCTCCCAGGCAACTACAGTTTAATTTCAACTTTTTCCAAAGCTTCAGCAAAAGGTGCCAACCTTACTGCTCCAAGACACTCTCATGTCTACTCCAAGGGCTGGTGGTGATTGTGACTGCCAGAATTCATCTACTCAAACCAGTATTTTTCTCTAACTGATCCAATCACATTGAATTATAGCCACGAGGGAATGCTTGAGTGAGCTGAGCGAGTGGCCAGGCTAATTCAGCCCTTGTCAGCCTTCTCTGAAGGGCCTGTGCTGATCGGTGGTCTAGTCCAGATGCTGGTGATTGTGCTGTGATTAGGGGCTGTGAATCGGGGGGTGGGCACCCATGTCACGTCGCATTACCTGCCCTCCCTAGGATGACTTCCTCACATGTTGTGGTCCAGAACTGCCTGCCTTGTGATGAGGGGGGCTCTGCTGTCTTCAGGGAAACAGAAAGAAGGGAGGAGGGACAATCTCACACATAGCCAAGATGGCTGTAATTCCTTAAAAATGCAAATGTCCTACATACATGTGACCTGCCAGAGCCTCACTTGTGAAAACCCTTAGAATTAGTCCCTAATTGGCAGCTGCCTCTAATAGCCCCTTTATAGTTCCCTGCATCTGGGTGAACTT